GCCCGAAACGGCTGCGATTGGCGCCCGGGAGGGTCCGCGAGGAGCGGAGTGGGGATTGGGGGGAGCCGGCGGGGCCAATCTCGCCTTCTGGGCAGGCGGGGGAGCATCTCCCAGGTAAGCCGCAGAGGCGCCTCCCCCCTTGGGGCTCTGAGTCAAGGGCGATTTCTGGCCACGGGGGCAAGCGACCTTTCCTGCCCCCCGCAGGTGGTCCGCTGCGGGGATCCTGGAGGCTCCAACGCTCCCATTGTCTATTGTCCTAGGCGTGGTTTGATTGCTAAAACTGATAGATCTGGGGTCCTCCAAAAGCTCTAAGTTCCCGCTCCCGTGGCTGCTACCCAGAATTACTGGGACTGTTATCCAGCAACCGTTAGGGAAGGCTTAAATTCTCGGGGAAGAAAATGCAAGGTGGAACGAGGCTAAATTTGCAGCCCACTCGAACGGCCACCAGGGTGCCCAGCCCAGCAGCAGTGGGACACGGCAGGAAAAGAAGATACAGCGGGCATCCGTTATTGGGACCTGGACTTCACTGATTTCTTTAGGAGGCCTGACTTCTAGCTAAATTGGAGGAAAGTGTAAAGGCAGCCTCCTCGCCCCGCAAAAACCAGCGTGTCACTCAGAGGTGTTGAAGTACCATCCCCACCAGTCGACTCAGAGAAGGGGAATAGGGAAAGGAGCCGCCCAGTCATCGCCCGCTTTTCAGCTAAAGACAATGTTGCAGGGTGGAACTTAGGGTTCGTGCCAGCCGTGTCATCTTTCAGGATACTCCATTCCAGGCTATTGTGCCGTCGGCACTTTGTACACTCGATAGCTACAAGAGGAGACTCTTTCTCAGAATTAATTAAGACCACTGCGGATTCCTCACAGCGAGTGATTTACAGCATCTTAGGGCGTCGATATAAAGACCATGATAATAACTCTATAACTCCATACTGCTGGCGGGGGTATAAGAGGCTATAAATCACTAGTTAGGAAGTGCCCCAACTTTTTGGCCAGCAAAGCGTCAGCAAAGACAGGACGCCTGGCAAATGGAGGTTCACTTTGCAGAAACTGGCTGGATTCTCACATCCCGCTAAGCGATGGTTTGCTCAGGCATCTCTGCATTGAACCACACGATTTGAGGGGTGGCCAAGCAGTTTGTTTGGCTTTGACTCAACGCGTTGTGTGAACCCAAGTATTTTGATAGCAGACTCAAAAGACAATCCAGTTTCCTGCGCCATGCGAACAAAATCACTCTGGCCAAGCAAAGAAATGGGGGATCACTTCCTAACTAGGGGTTTCTCTCGCGGCCTAGCATCATCCGACCAGGGCCGCAATGATGCCTGGTGACAGCGTAAATTTTAATTATTTCCGGAGAAAATGGCCTCGATTCGTTTCAGGAACCTGGAGATAACCGGCACGCTCCTCCCGGTTACCCCCAAGAGAGGAGGGGACCCGTACTCCCGCTGGGCAGGAATCCGCCTCACACCGTCCAACCGGGGGCCTCCCAGGTGGGCGACTTCAATTCCCACATCGAGGGGGGGTGCGGGTGCGTGCCTAGGCAGGAAGGTTTCTGCTCCGAGCCCGCTTTCAGGCTGGGATCCAACTCTTGGGCGCTCTAGCACGGGGGGTGGGGGGGGAGAGGGTGGCTGCTGCACGTGCCACGGCCCGGGATCCTCCTTTGGGGAAGGTCCCGCTTGCTTTCGCTCTACTGGTGCAAGCTGCGGGATCGCTTCCCTGCCTCTTGCACTTCAACCAGGACGTCACAGGCCCGGCTTGGCAAGTCTCCAAGGCGTAAAGTCTTCAGTCCGCCCGCCAGCAAGTCGATTCGGAGCAGCTCAGCCGAGACTCGGAGAACTTGCGCCGCTCCGAAGCGCAAAGACGTCGCGGGAAGCCAAGTTCGCAGCTGGCGCTCCTGTCCCAGCTCGGCCGGAGAGGACAGGCAGCAATACCCCTCAACCTCAGCCGGGTAGGAGGAAGGAGGCTGCCAGGGGACGATGGGAGTTGTAGTCTGACACCTTTGAAGAGGAAAGTTGCGACACTCGAGTCCCCCCCCGCCCCCCACTGGAGCAAACGCCAAACTTCAATTCGCACCAGGCAGTTCTGAGACACAGGCCCCCCAAATACCCCATTCATTCTCACCGTCACACACGGAAGAGCCCTGCCACTCCCTGGAAGGGACGAGGGCGCTCTGGATCCCTCGCGGAAGATCCCAGTCTCGCCCCTTCTGGACGCCGACGGCCTCCACCTGAGCGTGCGAAGCGGCCACTCCCCGGTTTGGGGGGCATTGACCGCCCCGAGGCAGCCGCC